GACCAAAGGGCACAGCACAGGCGACACTGGAGGGAAAAGCAGGCCAGAAGATCATCACTAGGTTTTTGCCACAAGCTAATGTCTGTTCAGTCCTGCCAGCCCCCCTTCCCAAATATGACTTAAAGGGAAAAAAAAAAAAAGGCAAAAAGTAAAGGTGGGCGGTTTGCATTTACTAAATATATACTGCCCATTACCTCGAAAGATGTCCATGTATTTTCAGATTACAAAGAAATACAAACTTACCTACATTAATGCTTTTCAAATACCACAGAAAGAAAGACGAAGGTGAACTTCAACATAACACCGGGTTAATACAGGCTGACAGAGCTATGTAGAAGAGCACCGTTCCCAGTTTCACCAGCAGAAAAGCAACTGCTGAAGATGCTTAGGGGAGCAGCACTTCTAGGAATCAAAATGAGGGGTCGATGGGTGTTCTAGCTAGGGTTGAGTAACTGCCGTTGAAATGTGGCCAAACACTGAGCAAATCCATCGCTCTGTCTCACTAGAAGGACTGATGGCGGTATCACCACTTTGGGCAGGATCCCTGCTGCCCAGCACCACTGCACCCAGCGGAGCCACCGCTCGGGGACAGACGGTACTGGATGCTGCCGCTAGCCAGAGGAGCATGACCTGGCCTGACCCTGCCTGGCTGGCGAGGCCGGGAGGATGGAAAAATCCCCAACCATATCGAAATAACTCTGCCAGATGAAACTTTCCAAGTTCCTCCACAGCATAGCACAACTCTGTAAAAGCTGCCCAAGTTTATTCTTAAGGTAGTGTTACATTTTTGTTAATTAATATTTGGAAGGTAGCAGGAAAATTCTCAGAAAGGCAATGACAGGTCCCAGTCACAGAGCTGCTTTGACTATCCTGAAGAAAACTGCCATGCACCTCCCAGGGATGCATCAGAGACTTTTCAGAACAGGCTTTCCATCTGCTGCACAGCTGCAGAGATGCAAGGAGAAATTCTTACAGCATTGTCTGTAATTGTGAGGGCAACTCACAAACAAAAAAAATTTAATCAGCGGGAAAGTGTGCTATACAGATGAGACACCAGAGTTCACGGTGGTATAATCATCACGGTACGAGCAGTCCTTAATCCAATCTGCACAGTTATTTAGAGGTTCCTGTTCTGAGCAAGTACAGGACGTACTTTGATCTCTGCTGCCTCCTGCCAAAACTGTGGAAATTAGCAAGCCAAAAACCAAGAGTCACAGACAAAGATATCATGGCAGTCAAAATATATCCTACAGTTATACAAGCAGCTCTCCTGAAAGACCCCGATGCATTTCAGGAGACACAGATGTGCAGTTGCAATTAATTACTTTTACCTTAATCCAAAAAGTTGTCTTCAACTTACAGATGAGGAGATGAGCCTCTCCTACATGAGGATAATTGAAACTTTGCTGTTCAGTTCACTAACTACCTGAAGTGATGCTTTGAAAGGGCCCAAATGCAGCCAAACTCTTGGATGATGCCTGGTAACTCCATACTGGTGCAATCAGAGCTGTGGTCACAGCTAAAGTACAGCCTTGGACAGAAACTCTGTGTTACGGGGGTGTTAGCCACAGCGACAGTCATGCTGAGTTCTTCCTTAAAGCAAGGATCCATCCTCTTTGTCACATACGATGAATCATCCCTCAAGTCACAGTACTTCAAGCAAAGTCTTTAATTTGGGATGAAATGGGTCTTCAAGAAGAGCATGCTTCTGTCAGATTTTGGCTCAAAACCACCTTATTAGAGAAAGACAGATTCCTCAAACTTGTCACATAGTTAACATTCACTTAAATCTCTTGTTTTTAAAGAAAACAACTGTTGAGAAAACTATGTGATAATTAAGCTGCAGGCATGGGAAGCAGACAGATAGTTAAGACAGTCAAATAACCTTTACCCTGCCCTGTAGAGACAAACTACAATAGAAAAACGATTGATGTTCAAAGTTTTTCATTACAAATTTGATCACGCTCATTTTTAAAGATGTTAATTTCTTTTTTCCTCACTTCCTTCTCCCTCAAAAAGGTGTGCAGTTAAGGCTATACAACTACAGTTGCAACTGAACCGAGCTCGATTTCTTCTTCCTGTGACATTTATCCTGATTTTATTACATAATTGCAGCATTTCTGCCCATAATCTACTGATAAATGCTCAAACTCCCAATTAACAGCATTTTGTGTTCTGATTATAAGTCAAACTGCAATGAATAGCCATGGAGACAATTAAGCAACTTGGACTCAGGATGACGATGAGATAATTATCTTCATTCTCCTCCATCCACCACCCCAAACAAGTCTTAGTTAAAAAAAAGGTCTTTGAAGATCCTAGGCAGCCTGGACTTATTTTAACCTGAAAAATCAGACCCTCCTGCAAAGTACAGCGTGTTCTCGGGAATGTTTGTTCAGTGCGGGTAGGCAGTACAGCTCCACCTCCTGAATTATTTAGAGGACATATTTCCTGCAGCACCTCCCAGCATTAGACCACCAGGTCTGCAGGACAGTTTTTACAGGTGAGGAGGCATGGGCCCTGAACAACAAGCTCTCCAGCACAGCAGAAGCAAGCAGGGCATGGCAAATGTCTGCAAGGTAGATGGAAGTAGGCAGCAGGCACAAGAGGCAGCAATGATCTGGAGGGGACAAGAGGCAAATGCTGTCAGGGTTTCAACTGGAAGCACAGGAACCGTTGGTGCGGAGATCTTCCAGGTCCAGCACTGCCCTGTTGCAGCTCTTCTCTATAAGCCTATCAGCTCTGAGGAAATCGGGCTCTTAGGCAACACCAAAGCAGACAAAGTTTTGTTACATGCTCATTTTCAAGATCCTACATTACCACTGTCATTTTTGAGTGGGTAGCTGTCAATCTCTAGTATGCAGTGAGATAATACCAGCCTTTTGACAGACAGTCTACATTTAAGATCTAAAATAAACCGCAAGAGTTTTATATAGACAAACTATGAAAAGAAAATGAGTAAAAGATGCATCCGTATCTCACTGAAAGAAAACACAGGCCTCCAAAGCTCTTTTCCCCCACTCTCATGTACTGTACCACTCAAGACTTATTATTTTAGGATTATTTCTGGTGCACTGACTGGAGAGGATATCCACAAGTCACATATGCAACTATTCCACAAGCAACCTAGCTGTATGATTGCTTCCACGCCCTCCTCCTTTTTCCTTTCCTCCTTTTCCACTTCCTATTCCTTTCTTCTACTAGCTCCTTGACTAATGTATAAGCTGTACGAGGCAGGGAGCATCTTTCACAGTCTTCAAAGCACGTATAGTATTTTTATTAGGGTTGAAGACTTTCAGAGCTTCTCTACAGATAATCCTACCACCTGACCACTGCTCACAGCTGGAATACCGCAACAACCAGAGCAAAATGGACCTGAGATGTGCTTAAATACACTTAGTTTACGTACCTCGGCTTGCAGATGAAACTAAGCAAGCGCTAGGACTTCCATCTATTAAAGGCAGTTGAGACAACGTGGAAAACACACCATTCAACACAATCCTGCATCTGTCTCCCTAGGGCAGTAACAGCCAAACCTTAGCCTTGGTGAGGCTGAAGGAGATTTGGGATGGCACTACCAACAGGGAGTTACACAGCTTTTAAAGTAGATCTGGTGCTCTCAGCACCCTGAAAAGAAGAAGGAAATTCAAAAGGCGGAAAACATCTGTAGTCATAAACAAACTCCACACCTCCTCATCCTGCAGAAGCATAGGGAAGTATTTCAATGGACCCTTTCCACAAGGGACACTCCCTGTGACATTAAGCACCATGCAACCCACAGCATCTGTGACCTGCAGTCACATAACAGCATCTGACTGGCTCAAGAAATGCAAACTACAATTGGTACTTTATAAGTAATACACCACATCAAATGAGAAGTGATCATATTTGATCTATGTTCTACATAGGGTGAAAAAGACATCTTGACTCCACGAACAGCAAGATCCAGGTCGTGCACAGATTTTTTGGCCTAGTGCAGACCTCTACGAGTCACGCTGAGCCTACAGTTCAACGTGGGAGAGGTTTACGGGTGCCTACAGTGGGGGACCCAAGAACATCACTGGAGATCTGAACAGTACACATTTGCAGCACAGACAGGAGGCAGAATAAAGAGATGAAGAAGAGAGAGTCAACTTCATTAAAACCCTTTCCAGGCATGGAGAAGGTAGTAAGCAGCTGGTCAGAGCTTACAAAGACAAGGCCTAGTTCCACTCATCTTAGTTGAGACACGCTCCCTCTTCCTTCCCTCTGCGCAGAGGCTTGAACCAAATCTCCCCACCACAGTTCGTGCCATGGGAAGATCAGCTCACCCAGCCTGTGCAGCACCATGCAAATCCCACTTCCCTGCCGACCCAGGTCCTCTGGCCAGCTGCCCCATGGCCACCCTTCAGCTCATTCCAAACCTCCTCCAGCCCCATCCCCTCACAGACCACCTTATTGCCTGTCGCCACCCCCAAAAGACAGATGCACCTCCATCCACGGGCCCCTGCGCACCTGCCAGCTCAAGCCTTCTGCCCTCACTATAGCCATCTTTCCCATCATCTCCAGTCAACCACCAGCAAACCCCTTTCTTCCACATTCTGCAGCCACCCTGCCGCACAAAGCACCTCCGAGAGCCGCTGCCACCCATACCTAGGTCCCTACAACACCTCTCCATCCCCATGACACCCAAGCACCCCCAAACTCGGGTCTCTGCATCTCCTCCAGCTTCACTTAAGCCAAGTGGGCTCCCCAACCCTTCGGCGGGCCCCCAAAACCATCTCTCCCAGCACCAACAGCCCCAGACACCCCATGCACGCTCCCACCCCTGCCAGCCCAGCCTGACCCCCCTACCCCACCAGCCGCCCCCCTCACCCCGGAGGGCACAGCGCTCACGCCGCTGTCCCCCACCAGGCCTGCGGGCCCCCACAGTCGGCGCCCCGCCCCAGGGACACAGCTCCCCAGCACGGCGCGACCCCAGACCCCCATCACCCAGGCGGCCCCCTCAGGGCAGCCCCTACCTGGGCAGGCTCCACGCTGGCGGGCAAGCCTTCGGGCAGGGCCTGGAACAGCAGCAAGGCCATGGCGGCGCGGAGCCTCCTCGCCATCCCCCCCCACCCCCCGCTCCCCGCCTCCCCAGCCCGACTGCGGCCCGGGACGGGAGCCGAGGGGGCACCCCGCGCCCCGCCCCGCCCCAGCCCGTCGTCTATTGGTCAGGCGGCGCGCCTCTTGGCCTGCCATTGGCTCAGCGCGCTGGCGCTTAGGGCAGAACCGGGAGGGGCGGGGTCTGCGCGCAGGGAGCTGCCATCTTGAGTGTGGCGCTCCGGGGAGGGAGCCCGGAGTGGGGCGAGGGCTGCCATATTGTGAGTGGCGGAACTGGCTGGGGAGTGGGGGGGGGGGCTCCCCCTTGGTCCTGCACCCCCAGTGCAGTGCACCCTCCGGGGGCAGAACTGGGCAGTGCAAAAAAGGGGAGTGCACAAGCACCCTCTGGCCTGCTGCGGCCTCCCTGACACCCCAACGGCAGCCAGGCACTCATCCCCCATTCACCTGGTCACTGTGATCCCCACTCGTCCACTTCCCCACAGCACCCGCAGACCCCAGACCCAAACAGCCCGCCCAGACCTGGGGCACACTGGGGAGCTGGTTGTGGAGAGGGTGCTAAAATGGCGGCGGCGGCATGGGGCTGGAATTGAGGCGTCTGGCGGGCAGCCATGTGTTGGTGCCAGTCCCATCCAGAGACGGCAGCAGCATGGAGAAGAGGATCTCCCACCATGGCCAGGTCCCAGCGTCTTCCCATGCAGTGGTCCCTTGCCAGGGCTTGCACCCCCAGGAGATGCGGGGACACTGGCACTTGGGGTCAATTCACAGCTCGGGGGAGACAGCCCGTGTTTCTGGGGCAGTGGCAGAGTCTTTCCACACTGCTGCTCCCAGCACACCAGGCAGGCTCCATGCCGGATTGGCATGACGAGGCTTATCAGATGCTCAGATAACACGTTAAGAAAAGCCAGAAAAAAATAACCAACTTAGCAGCTTATCTCCTACCCTGGCATTTTTCAATCAGGGCAGTACTTGGGGCACACCTAACCCCGCTGGATCAGCTCATCAGCAGGTATTAACCCATTACCCGTGCACCCTGCTTGCTCCTCTCTCCGTAGACAGCCAGTTCACTGGCCTTTGGGTGAGGAGTGGTAAGCCAAGCCCACCCGCTGGGGCTGCTGATGCCTCAGAGGAGACTCTCAGCCTCCCGTGCCTCCCCAGCCCCTCCCCAGGCTCTGCTGCAGCCCAACATGACATCTTTGGTCTGGTTATCATTTGAAGGGAGGTTGTAAACATGCTAGAGCACTGACATTTCAGCCACACACAGTTATTAAAGGAGCTTTATTCCTGTTCCCACCTAGCACTGAAATTAGAGGCACAGCAGGAGAAGGCTGTGAGTGCACCGGAGCACAGGGCAAGCCCAGATCAGATATGACTCATTGCTGGAGAGTAATTAACACTTGCAGCTCTTCCCAAACAGGAATGAGTCCGGCTCTGACTCCTGGCAGTGAGGTTTCCTTCCTGTTGCAGCAATGGGAAATGGAGGCAGGGCTGGCCAGAGCCACCCTTGGCAGCATTGGGGACTTTCTGGCCACAGCCTGGCTGTGACTTCTCTGCTCCCCAGCGAGACCAAGGCAGGCTAGGGAGTTACTGTGGTTTTGGGGAGTGCAGGCAGGCACCAGCTGCAGCAACCACCTCCCAGCGCAGTAGTGACGTGAGCTGTTGAGATGACTTGAATCCTCCGGGGGAGATTCCAGCTACAACCTAGAAACCTAGAAACCCCGCTGAGCTAAACTGTCAGCTGGCATAAATCCATGTCGATCTGAAGAGGGAATCCACTGCTATAAGCTCGGGGGGGAGGTCTGGCTTGAGGATGGCTTGCCGATCCTCCAAGCACAGAGCAACCCTCTTCCTCTGGCCAAGAGCAAGGAACTGCACCATGTCCCACTCGCCGGGGCGGGAGGGAGAGCTGGCGTGGGATGGCAATAACATCTTCAGAGGGTTCCCCTGCTCCATCACCCCTCTGGTATGGCTGGGGACAGGAAAAAATGAGTGACAAAACCCCTGAGGCTTTCCCACTGTGGTCCCAACCTTGGCTTTGTGTGGCTGCTGCCCTGGCATCGCTGGCCACAGACCCCCTTGCTCCGCAGGGACCCCCACACACTGCAAACGCAGGAAGGGTCAACAGCAAGAGCACGGCTGTGATGTGCAGGGAAAGGGCAGTTTTGGGGTGCTGCAGCATATTGTTTTATAAGCATTGCCATGCTCCTGAGCATGCTAGAGGCACCTTGGATCCAAGTACAGCCCAGGCTGCTACAGGTACCTTTCTGAAAGTGCTCAAAGCAATTTTGGGTGTAGGGCAAGAGCAGCTTGGGTAAAGGAGCTTAAGAAAAGCAGAGCAGAGATGTCTCCTTGTGGCTTCTTCCTGCTCCCAACAGGAGTGACATCTGTTTCATTTCATATACTTATCTATTATTTTAATTGCACATTAACAAGAGATCTAATAATGCCCAGGGAACAGATACACAAGTTTGAACACGTTTTTCTACTTTCTGCTGACCTATTAATTATTTCGGAGCTCTTGTGCAGCTTTCTTGCTGTAGCTACATGCGGTTGGAGACATTATCCTCTACCTGTTGCAGCTTGGGCAGAAGCAAACCTGCAGTAGATATGGCTTGGCCTTTCAACAAGTACATTTTGGGTTTGATTGCTCTCTCTGTAGGAGCGGAGTGGTTAATGCCAGAAAGCCCTTTGGCTGCAGACCCTGCAGACCCTGAGTGTCTCCACTCAGGCATGCAGCTGATGCAGGGATGCTGCTGCCCTCTGGGATCTGACACTTTTTCCTGGTTGGAGGGACAAGTGTCAACCATGGGGCCATGGGGCTCTCTGAGCAGCCACTTCATACAGCTGGTTAGAAACATGCTTCTCCCACTGAGGGGTGCTCATCAGCAAGCAGAGAGCCTGGATGCAGGTGGTTGAGGGTGGGTACTTTAGCCCAGGACTTGGGCTAAACTCTGGGGCTCCTTCCTCCTCTGAAAATAGTCTGCAGCAAATTCAAGCTGCTCTTCTTTTGGGGTGGGAGAGGCCTCGTGGCAGACCCAGGACAGCATCATGCAAACGCTGCCTGGCCAAGAAGACAAACAGCATCCATGGGTGCAGGACTGGTCACCCAGTGTCATCCCCCGAGTCACCCCAATGGGATGACAGTCACCATGAGCACAGTACTGTCACCTCCCTTTGGCACTTGCCTCAGGACTGTTTGCAGCCCCGAGAGCCTCTTGGGGAAGGCTGCATGGGATGTCCAAGGGTTTCAGGGCTCATGCCAGCCCTTGCAGAGCCTCACGGCTCTTCCTCCTTCTCCTGGCCCCTGTGCTGACCCTCACCCTGGTGCCTGGTCAGACACAGAGCCCACACCGTTCCCTTTCAAGGCAGGAATGAATATATCACATACCAGTCCTGCCCAGAGAACCAGACACTCAGAGACCAGCCAAAAGCAGAACCTGCAGCTTTTTTTAAAAAAATCACCGCATTTTATTTTTCAATCCTCCTGTCATTTGAAGTGTTGCTGTTCAGAGCCCGAGTTAACGCCCCGACAGCTTTGTGACTCCTGTGTCTCTTTCCCCCTTGTCCAAGGGGGCCCAGAGTCGACTGTCCCCCAAGGCTACAGATCCTTGGTCCTACCGTGGGGACAGTGAGATGCAGGACAAGCGTGACAGCTGGCTCTCACACTCAGAGGAATGGGTAGATTGCAAAATTTAGAGCTTAAAAACAATTAGCTATTTCTCTCCTGGATTGTAGCAATCGCAAAGTGAGTAAAACGTGAACCTGAGAACAAGGAAAGCATGGTCCAAGCATTGGTCCCTGGACTTTGGGGTGCTCCCTGTGCAGAGGGGACAGGTCCCTTCCCGCCTGCCAAAGCATGATCCAGCTCTTGGTAAGAGGCCACTGTGGTGGTTTAAGGCAGCAATGTGATTTGGTTCCTGGTTCGATGGCAGGGCGCCTGCCTTCGGAGGTAGGACTGTGCTCTGAGACCCGAGGGAGAGAGCCCGATGCCTTGCGGGGCCAAGCCCAGTGACCACGCGAGGCTCAGACAGGCTGGGCAGATCCTCCTGCGCAGAGCAGGAGGAAGGCACGGGAAGCGCAGCCATCGTCCAGGGCAAGAGAGACGTGGGGAAGCAGGGACACAGCCAGCAGCAGATGGGGGAAGGCTCAGGACAAGCTGAACTGCTACAAGCTGGGCATGCAGAGCCAGATCCTGCCCCTCTGGGGGAAGGAGGCAGCAGAGACAGTGCTGGGCTGGGGGGCGGATCTGGCTGGACCATGCCTTTGAGCCCTGCTCAAGGGATGTGGGGCTGGTGGTGGCAGAGGGCTGGAGGGATGCGACGGCTCCCAAGGTAGTCTCCGTTCACAGTCCCTTGTTAAAATAGACGTACGGCACTTTGTCCCCATGCTTGGCCATGATGCTGTCACGCAGTTCCGGCTCGAGGTCAGCCAGTGCAAGGGAGCTGTGGGGAGAGGGGATAGACACTGAGACCCACGACTCTCCTGTCCACCGGTCAGGCCACCCTCCCTTCCCATTGCCATTTGAGGTTGCCTGCAGTCCCTGGGATCTTGCAAGCTCACGTCAAGACCCACCACCCATCCCTGGCATCCACCGCTCCCGGTGCTGGGGAACAGAGAGCTGCCCATGGGGCTGGCTGTCCCATTGCTCCCAGCACAGAGCTCGCAGAGGAGGCACGTGCTCTCCTGCTGCCCAGGGCACCAGCGTGTACAGGCAGGTGCAGCCTCGGGTTGAAGGGTGGGTGCCCATCATGCTTCTCCTGGGTTGGGCAGAGAAGAGCTAGGGGAGGAGGAAGGCTCCCGAGGTCCCACACAGGAAAGGCAAATAGCGGGACAGGTACCATCTCTGTGGGAACAGGGCGCAGGCTGCCGGCACCATGAACAGGAGGCTGTGGGACAAAGAAGAGCTGAGCATTAGTGTTGGGGATCGCAGCCCATTTGCCCGCTGGCCACAGGGATCTCAGCCCAAGAGGTGCTGCTCACGATCCACAACTCCCAACACCTGGGAAAA